TCTTTCCCTTGTATTGATATTATCCTTTTTCTCCTAGAATTTTTGCTTACTTTTTTTCTGTACTTCCTTTATATCTTCTATTTATTTGTATCTCATGATTTCAAACTATTCTCAAACCAAGAGCTCAGCCAGCAAGGAAGCAAATAATTTACTGAGAAAGACTGTAGACGACAAGGTCATAAATTACTTATAGACAGAGGCTTAGAATGGAGAGAAAAAAAAGACTAAGAAAAAGGAGTTTTGGCTTTATGTTTTACAGTGTAAAACTGCCCAGTATTAAAGAGGATTGATAGCTCTGGACACCATAAAAACAAGAGGTAGTCTTGGCTTCACAAAATCGCAACACACACACACCAGAAGCAGGGGGTTGGTGGGCAGTGCTCTCAAGGGAGTGGTTTCTGGTTACAGAGATAAGAGGCTAACTAGCAATCCAACTGGGAAGCCAACCCAGGTCATGGTGGATGAACAAGTGAAAAGAACACATGAATGAAACCTAATGCTGTACCCTTGTTTTCATGATTATTTTAAGTTTTCATGATTATTTCTTAGACTCAAGTAACCAGAAAGTATGACAGATAGGAATACACAAATGTAAAGAAAAAATTTCTACCCAAAATTTAAAAGACAAGGAATGCTAACCTAAAGTAAAACTAACAAGTTAATTTTTTGTGTGTTTATAATACAAACAAGAACAACCTTTGTTTCCACTTTTGGAAAGGAAACACAGGTGGAACAGAAGTACAATGGGTTTACAGGGAAAAGGAAACGTACCTCGATGCTGGCCTCTCACCCGCAGTCTCCCTTCCCCAGAGGCATTATAATCTCAAATGAGAATAAAAATGGGCAATGTCACGATTAGGGAGGAGCTGCGAAAATAAATTTGTCTCTACTCCACTTCTATTTTTAAATAAATTTAAAAGACCTGATCACTTAAAGAATCAAAGTGTTCAACAATGTTTGTTACAAAAACCTGCAGGCTTCCACCCACAGGGCAACTAATTTTGCCTCATTTACCTTATTATTTAGAAATGTATCTCCATGTCTTTACACAACCTTGGCATTGGCTGGCACTTCTCAACTTCCATTTCAGGCATCGTCTATTGTCTTCCCACAAGGAGGGATGATTTAGTTTTCTTTCCCCCTCCCTTCCAGCCAGCACCGCCGCCTTCCCATCCCCCCAGTAGCGTTAAAGTCTTATTTTGGTTAGTTAACATTCAGTGTTCACCAAATTATGATATGTAAATCCTATTCATAACTCGGAATGCTTTTCCTTACTTTTATTTTTCTGGAGTTAATAATTATTTTATTTGCATGCTTAGTTTTCTATGTATTTATACAATTTCAACAAACAGCTTCTATTCCAATTCCTCACAATTTGATGTCTGAAGGTGTATGACTTATTCAAAATCTTGTTCACTGCAGTATTCTACTAGTGAAAAAGTAAAAGCAAATCAAAAATCCACCAACAGGCAACTGTTAAATCCACTGCAGTTTTCCATATCATGAAATACTTTGCAGACCTTAAAACGAAGGTTAATTAACAAGTATTGATACATGTACCAAACTGAGCCTTTAATTTTACGTCATTATACGTACCTGTAACTCTTTAATATTTTACAATGAGCATGCATTTTTATAGTCAGGAAAAAAAAGGAAATTTAAAATAATCATAAAAATAATCAGAATCACATTTTGTTTGCGGTTATTCATAAGACCAATCAGATTTTAAAATTTTTGTCATTTTGTTTAGTTGCTGGGCAAAAAGTCAATTTTTTTTTTCCGCTACACAAATTTGACTGTAGGCCAATCATCTCAGAGATGTCTAAAGAGATTCAACTTTGGAAGAAGGAAATCCAGATTTTTCCTACTTCTAAAGGAAAATGTTTTCAGAAAATGAGTGTAAAGGGGGTGATTGTATAGGAAGCCCTCACTTATCTTGAACCAGATACTAGATTACAGACAGTAAAATGCTTCATTTTCATCCCAGACAGCGGCAGGATGGAGCGGCATCTAAGGAGGCGAGCCCAGGGAGGCGGGCCTGGGCCAGCAGCACATTCTGCGGAGGTTGCTTAACCAACCAGCACGTTGGCTTCCGCGTTGTCAGTCTGCCTAAAAATGCCTGACCTTTCCGTTCCAACCGAGTGCTGATGCACTACTGCAGCTGCACGACGGGGTAATTAACTAGAACACCACTCGGCCTTCACGACTCATAAGGCAACTTTCGCGACCACTCTTCCATTAGGAAGGGGCAAGCCCACGGAAATGCCGGGGTCGGACACAGGTTGCCCCCCAGGCTTCTAGCCTCTGTATAGGTCACAGACGCTGACAGCTGTAGCTAACTTTATTGGGGTGGTGGACGGCTTGGAGAAGTCGAATGAAACAACAAATTTGCTCCCCAGGAAATTAAACATAAGCTCGGGTCAGTCAACTTGTGCACAGAACCTCCCGTGGGTTCGTGATTCCCTCAGACCCAAGCCGGGCTCCCCCGGACACAGGGGCCGGGGCTCCGGCCGCGGCGCTCCCTCCCACCCCTTCCCCCATCCCCACCGCAGCCCCGTACCGGCGGACGGCTGGGCCCAGGCGGGAACCACGCACCGAAACGAGCGGGACGCGCAGGTGATCCCCCTGCAGCCGGTTGAAGGCCGGAAACGTGCTCCAGGCTAGGAAACCACCGTGCTCGGGTCCTAGCAACGCCACGAGCAGCACCTGGTGCTGGAAGCGCACGGTCGGCTGCTCTTCATAGCTGCTCCGTTTCAGCCAAAACCCTGAGGTAAAAAGGGCGGGAGGCGGAGGGGCCGAGGTCAGGGAAGCCGGCGCGGTCGCCGCGGGGAGCCGCGTCGCGCACCGGCCGGGGGGCAGGCTCACCGTGGCTCCGGAAGGCCACCAGCAGCGGCGGGATGTACGTGAGCGCGGCGGACAACATCAGGAACAGCGCGGCCTTAGAGCAGAGCCCCGCGCGGTAGCCCCGCTCCACTGGGTGAGAGAAGAGCTCGTAGAGCGCCATGAGGGTAGCGGTGAGTCGGCCCAAGAGCTCGGGATTCCTAGGCGGTTCCAGAGATTCGACAAACTTTGGCTTCTCCTGGTTGCCATAGCCTTGGTCTCCACGGCAACCGACGGGGCAGGGAAAGGAACCAATAGCAAGGAGACGGGCTTCTGTAGGGGTGGGGCTAACGGGGCGGTGCCCGCAACTGAAGTGTAGTCGTCGCTTTACGCATTACTTGCGCTTTCCCAAAGGTGGACTGTTTCTGTGCACCAAAGTCGTAGCCATCGCCTGTGTTAACATTTTTGTAAAATAAGATTTTCATAAATGTTGACTTAAAGTAAATACTTGCATATGTGTCATCTGTTAATCCCCAATATGGTTCATTGTGTACTTAAGTCCAACCAGTCACAGCACACCCTACATTGGAGGAAAACACAGAGAACATAAATGTGGCCGTGGTCCTGGACCTGATCCTGCGCCAAGACCAAACCATGTCTCTTTGTCTCCAAACTTTCTATCGCTTTCATTATACTCCATAGCCGGACAGAAACAGGACACAAATCTCCCTGCTCTTCGAGAGAGAGAAAGGATAATTACTATATAGCTCTGCTATACTTTGTTACCTTAATTGGGCACAAGCTTGGCTACCTGTTTTAGGGGAAGCTATGCTCCTCTCCAAAGATAATGTTGGAGTATCACTTAATTGAATGCTTTCCCCCCACTCCACCCGCCCCCTAGTATTTCGAACATGGCAGAAGGAATGTTTTTTTAACATGGTCAATAGCCAAGTTCTTCATCAAAAGGATCACACTGCAGTTCCAAGAGATAGTGTGAGGTTTGTGCTCAGAATGGAGTCCAGTAGTAGATGCTCCTATTTTGAAGGCAACCTAGAAGGGTTTTTTTCCTTCTAGTTTTATTGAGGTTTAATTGACATACAGCACTGTATAAGTTTATGATGTACAGCATAATGATTTGAGTTACATCATGAAATGGTTACCATAATAAGTTTAGTGAATATTGCTTATTTCATATAGATTAAAAATTAAATAGAAAAAATTTTTTTCCTTCTGATAAGAACTCCTAGGATTTACTCTTTCATATATAACATAGAGCAGTGCTAATTATATTTATCATGTTGTACATTACATCCCTAGTACTTATTTATCTTATAACTGTAAGTTTGTACCTTTTGACTGCCTTCATCCAATTCCCCCCTCCCTCCACCTTGCCTCTGATAACCACAAATCTGATCTCTTTTTTATGAGTTTGTTTTTGAAGTATAATTGACCTACAACAGTATGTAAGTTCCTGTTGCACAACGTAGTGTTTCAATATTTCTATACATTTCAAAATGATCGCCATGGTAAGTTTAGTCACCATAACCTAGAAGTGGGTTTCAGATGAAGAGAACAGCCGAGATCCTAACAACACATAAAGAGGTCAAGATGTCCCATAAGGGGAAACTATCCAGGGCCCTTACCACAGTCCAAGGTGACAATGTAATCAGCCATAAGTCATTTTTTTGACATATCTGGTCCATTACCACTCATTTTTGCTTTAAAGCTTTTCTGGGGTGGCAACACAGCTCTTAAATACAACTGTTAGGCTTAAATCTATGTTATGATTCTGCCATTATACTGTACTTATGCTTTAAGTGAATGTCTTTCATTTATTTAAATAACCAGGAGACTTCCCTAGTGGTCCAGAGGTTAAGACTGCACTCCCAATGCCGGTGGCTGGGGTTCAATCCCTGGTCGGGGAACTAGATCCCGTGTGCATGCTGCAACTAAGAGTTCACATGCCGCAACTAAGAAGCCCACACACCGCAACTAAGAAGTCCACATGCCGCAACTAATGATCCTGCATGCCGCAGCTAAAGATGCTACAAGGAAGATCCCGAGTGCCGCAACTAAGACCCAGTGCAGCCAAGATAAAAAAAAAATATTAAAAAAAACCCCCATTAAAGTAAAATTTAGAATAGATGGTTCTGATGTTGCTTCCTGAGGGTGGCTCTGCTGTGAGGAAGGAGGTGTTTGCCTCCAAAGCTCCTTCTTTAAGAAGGAAACACATGCTGTAGCTGGTGTCAGCTTAGTCACTGCTGAAACGGAGGTGACTACTAAGAATTTGGGTGTATGAAGTGCTTCAGCCTCCTCTGAGATGCCATGAGCTTTGCAAAAGTGTTTAATAATAACAGATACTAATATTTACTCTTTGTTCCCCTGATTTGAGGAAACTACTTTTTGTGGTTTTATTTCAATTCTTGACAGAATATTAAATATTTTTTAAATGCTAAAGATTTGTCTATATTGTGTCATTTTCACACATTCTTGACTAAGAACTGACGTCTCAGTTTCCATTTCCATAATTTTCTCGTGTTTTATGCAATTTACCTCCAAGGACAAAGAAAGTCGTTCTCTAAAAACTATGCATTTTAATATTTTACGGCTTCCCTGGTGGCGCAGTGGTTAAGAATCTGCCTGCCAATGCAGGGGACACCGGTTCGAGTCCTGGTCTGGGAAGATCCCACACGCCACGCAGAAAAAAAGCCCCTGCGCCACAACTACTGAGCCTGCACTCTAGAGCCTGTACTCTGCAAGAGAAGCCACGGCAATGACAAGCCCGCGCACAGCAACCAAGAGTAGCCCCCGCTCGCTGCAACTAGAGAAAGCCCACGCACAGCAATGAAGACCCAATGCAACCAAAAATAAATTAATTAAATTAAATTTAAAAAAATCGTATTCTACTCCTTTCTATAAGCGCCCATTCAGGGTCTCTTGAATCAGGTTAGAACTCCTGAATGTTTGCTTCAACGCTTTCCAACATTTCTTTCACCTTGGCATTTATATCACCAAACCTTTGACTTCCCAGTTCCCTCTTCCAACTCCAGGCTTTGTTTCCATCTGTTAAGGAAAGTTTACACTTTGGAAAATGCACCCTTCTTTCTGAAATATAAGATTCACATTGTCTGTGAAGTCTTTTTTAAATATTTATTTATTTAGGCTGCATTGGGTCTTAGTTGCAGCACGTGGGATCTTTAGCTGCAGCATGCAGGCTCATAGTTGCGGCATGCAGACTCCTTAGTTGCAGCATGCATGTGGATCTAGTTCCCCGACCGAGGATTGAACCCAGGCCCCCTACATTGGCAGCGTGGAGTCTTATCCACTGGACCACCAGGGAAGTCCCTCTGTGAAGTCCTTCTTGATAAGCCACATTTGGCTTTGTGTCAGCCCCCATTGTCCTAGCCATCCCTCAGTATCCATGTTCACATACCTTTGAAATTTACTCTCCATGTTTCACAAGTTGGTGAATGTGTAATTGCATATATGTATTATCCTATTTCTCCTTCTGACTCACCTTGTCAACTAACAACCCTCTCAAGGAAGAGATCCAGTGTCCTTAGAACATTCAATAAGCTAAATATAATGACCCAATAGGTAAAGAAGGTGATGCATATCATCAAGGCAGATCAGAGACACCAGTTAGAATGGTGAACTGGAAAAGGACATCAAGAAGGTAGGTAAAGGGCTTCCCTGGTGGCGCAGTGCTTGAGAGTCCGCCTGCCGATGC